GCCCCCGGAGCGGGGCGGGAGCCGGTGCGGTCGGCGGGGGGGCTGCCGTCGTGGCGGGATGCGGCGGCTCCGACGGGGCTCAGGGGCAGCCCGCGTCCCGGCGCCCCGTGCCCACCTTCTCCTGCAGCTTCTCCAGCTCCTCCTTGTGCGCCAGCTCCGACTCCTCCAGCACGCGCCGCTGCGCCGTCTCCTTCTTCAGGAACTCGATCTCCCTGCGGACACCACGTCACGAGTCACCCGCGGCAAGGGGGGGCCACCAGCCAGGGTGACACCGGGGAGAGGGGCCACGTGCAGGGGGACCCCAGGGGTCAGGGATGTAGGGAGGGACCGTGCCCAGGGCAGGATCTGTGCCCAGGGATGAGGGCGGCTGGTGCCCATGGGATGCTCCGTGCCCATGTGGGGTCCATGCCCAAGGGATGCTTCACGCCCCAAGGGATTGGTGGTGCCTGGAAAGGGATCCGTGCCCAGGGACAGGGTTTGTGCCCAAGGGATGGTGAGTGCCCAGCTGTTGGTCCATGCCCAAGGGATGCTCCATGCCCCAGGGGACACTTGGTGCCTAGGAAAGGATCTGTGCCCAGGGACAAGTGCTGCCTGGGTCAGGGCTGGTGCCCAAGGGATGCTCTGTGCCCAGATGATGGTGAATGCCCATGGGATGCTCCATTCCCAGAGGATGCTCCATGCCCAGGAAAGCATCCATGGTGCCTGGGAAGGGACTGGTGCCCAAGGGATGCTCCATGCCCAGGGAATGGTCTGTGCCAGGGGGACGTTCTGCGCCTGGGGGTGGCCCGTGCCCGGGGACGGGTGCTGCGCTGCCCTCACTTTTGCTGGTACTCCTTGATGAGCCTCTTGGCCTTGCTGTACTTGCGCTCCAGGGTCTGGTACTGCGCCTGCGTCTCCTTGAGGTGCTCGTCCACGGCCTGGCACAGGTTCTGCGCCTCCATCCAGTAGCCTTCCAGCTTCTCCATCCGCTCCTTGTTCTCCTCCACGCTCTGCTCCAGCTGGGCCTTCTCGGCCCGCCACCGGGCCTTCTCCTGCTCCAGGCACTGCAGCTGGGGGACAGCGGGCTCAGGGCTTGGCACGGCACGGGCAGAGAGCCGGCACGGCCTGGCACAGCCCAGCAGGGGGGAGATTTGGGTGTCCAGGACACTGGGGTGATGGAGGTGGTGGGAATTGGGGGGAATAGGGGGATTTGGCATGGGTGGGGAGGACGGTGGTGCCACCACGGGGCTCCGCTCACCTTCCTCTTGAGCTGCTGGATCTCGGCCTCGGTGACGGCGTGCTTGATCTGGAGCTGGGAGAGGAGAGCGGCGCTTGCACGGTGGCGTGGGGACCACAGGGGACAGCCACCCACACCAGCCCCGCTCACCTCCTTGAACTTGTGCACCAGCTTCTCGGGGTCCATCTCCACCGGGGAGAGCGTGTCCTCGTTCTCGGCCAGCTCGAAGACCTCGATGGCCATCTCGCTGCTGGGGAACATGGGGCTCATCTCCTCCTCCTCGTCCGTGGCGTATTCGCCCGTCTGCGGTGGGCAGAGAGCCAGGTTGGCACCCGGTGGTCCCGCACCCACCCGAAGCCCAAAGCACAGCCTGCACCCTGCTCTCCATGGGGGAAACTGAGTCATGGGGAGGCCAGCAAAAGCCCATGTGTGTCCCCTCGTCTGTCCCCCAAGGCAGGGATGCTGGTGCAGGTGGCGAGGGCCTTCATCGCGCTCACCTCCTCGTCCTCCTCGGTGTACTGCGTGTAGCGCTGCTCGATCATCTCCCGCTGCCACCGCTCCTGCTCCAGCGTCTGCTGGATCAGCTGGGCCACCTCGCTCTGCTCGCCCGGCTTCTCGCGCCCGATGAGGAACCTGCGGGGACGCGCGGGCGGCTCAGCCTGGGGACACGCGGGGACAGCGGAGCGGCAGGGGCGCCGGGGGACCCAAGAAGGGCAGGACGGGGAGGGGTGTTGGGGACACAGGTGGGACTGGTGGATGAGCAGGGGTTAGGGGTGCTGTGGGGCAGGATGGGGGGCAAGGAGAGAGCATGGGTGTATTTTGGGGGTGGGATGCAGGGCAGGGTGCATAGCATGGCCAGGTAGAGGGAATCTATGGGGCAGGCAATGGGGCAGGGGCATTCAGGACGCTCAGCCCTAGCTGGGACCTCTCCTGCCCTCTGAGCATCCCTGGCTGGGGTAGGTCCATGACAGAGAGGTCCCTGGGATGGGGATGGCAGGAATTGGGGACAAGGGGCTCTTGTGGCCCCTGAGCCCTACCGGACGCGTCCCTTGGTGTTCCTGAGCACGGAGGCGGCGAAGCTCTGCGTCACCCCCACCAGGCTCGTGCCATCCACCTCCACGATGAGGTCATTCACCTGGATCCTGGGGACAAGGGCACCGTCAGGGGACCCTCCCCATGCCCGGTGCCACCCATCCCCGCACACAGTGGCCTGGGGGACAAGGACCGCCCCGCCAGGCTGCGCCCCGCCCCACAGGGCCGCCCGTCATCTCGGCACTGGGAACATCTGGCCGGTCCCTGGTCACACCTGGCTGTCCCCAGGCCCCGCGCCGGTGTCCCCGTTACCTGCCGTCCCGGTGGGCCGCCCCTCCTTCCGTCACCGTCTTGACGAAGATGCCCAGCTTCTCCAGGCCCATGTCGGCGCCGGCGCCCATGCCGATGATGCTGATGCCCAGCCCTGCAGAGGCTGCGGGGACAAGGAGCGCGTGTCCCCATGGGGACACCCACCCACGGGGGGACGCGGGGATAGGGAAGGGATGGAGAGGGGCTGGATAACGGTCCAGCACGGCCTGTCCCACCTTTCTCCAGCTCCACTGGGAAGAGGTCGAGCCGCTCCACCCGCTTCTCCCGCTCGTACTGGGTCGACATCCTCGTTGCGGCGGTCGTAGTCCTCGTTGGAGTAAGTGCTGAAGACCTGCGGGAGCGGGGACGGCGCCGCTCATCCCACGTGCCCAGGGTTGGGGCTCGTCCCTGTTGTCACCCCTTTGGGCACAGCCCCCCGCCACCGAGCGCTGCCCCGTGCTCCCGTTCCAGCTGGGAGAAGGGAAGGGGTGGATGGAGCAGCTCCAAAGGGGATATTTTTCCCTCTGCTCCGCCAGGCTCTTAGTAACCTCCTGCTTCCCCGCCGGGACGCGCCGTGCTCGGAATCGGCTCCATTATCCGCCTTGGCAGCACCGCTCCTGTGCCAGCAGCGCCCGCGCCAAGGGGCCCTCCCGGAGAGCCCTGCAGGGTGCTACGAGACACCAGAGAATCCACAGCGGCACCGTCCGGTGAGGCTTGAGGAAGCACCGTGGGGTTGGGAATCCCCCTGTGCTCCCGGCATGGGGGGAAGGACGGATCTGCGGGAGGAGCAGAAGGTGGGCCAAGTGTTTGGGAGGGTGGAGGGATAGAAGGATGGATAGAGGGATGAAGGGAGGGATGGAGGAAGGGATGGAGGGATGGACAGATGGAAGAACAGATGAATAGGTGAAGGGATTTGTGAATGGGTGGATGGCTGGGATGCACAAGCACTGGCTGCCCTGGGAATCATGCAGAAGCTGCACTGGCTCATTCCATGCGTCCTGTCACCCTTCCCAATCCCCCTCCCTTCCCTGGGCACCATTCCCTGCTCTCGGCCACCACCACCTCTGTCTCCTCATGTCACCCCAGGGGAAACGTCTCCACGGGCCCAAGGACAGGAGCACCCGTCGCAGAGGGGAAGCAGATGGAGCTGCGGGTCCAGATCCAGCCTTGGGATGAAGCATCGAGCAAAGAGCCCGTCCTAGAGCCTGGGGAGAGCGATCCCAACACTGTCCCCTTGGCAGGGGACACCTAACTGCCGTGGGAGCTCGGGGGGCTGCTTATTCCCCTGGGTTTCCAGCTTGCTTGTGCCAAGGGCTTGGATATGCCGGGGAGCGACCCCAGGGCTGTGACACGGGAGGTCCCCAGCCACCTTGGGTCCCCAGGAGGGAGCGGGGACAGGGCCCGAAGGGGATTTTCAAGGGTGCTGCGCGGCCTGCACCGGAGCCGGGGACGCAGCCGGCAAAGGAGGTCAGCGCCAGCGCTCGGATGCGCCGCTAATGCCGTAAATCCCTGGGCCGCCAACCCACGGCACGAGGCAGCCCATGGTGGCCCCCAGAGCCCCCCAGGCCCAGCGCGCTGCGGGGACAGCGGTGCCACCGGGGCTCGGTGACGTCCCCGCGCTCAGCACCAAGCACCACGGCCGCTCTCGCTCCTGCCCCGCATCCGTCCCCACCGCACGGGTGGCAGGAACAGGTCCCCAGGGCAGGAGGGGAGGTGCCCCATCCCCGCGGCCCAGCAAAGGCCAGTGGGTGACAGGGACAGGGACAGTTGCTGAGGGTGGCAGATGTCCCCAGGCTGCCAGCGCGGGGCTGCGGTGCCGCCAGGGGCCAGCGGATTAGGGATAACAGGCCCTGCTAAAGCCTCGCAACAAAGGACATCAGGGATGAGTGTCAAGGGCCATCGCACAAAGCCCAGTGACACCCAGACATAGGCAGCACTCGCAGCAGGGACAGGAGCCACCGGGGTGGCACCTAGGGGTATTGGGGATCAGGGCACCAGGCAGCTCCACAGCCCTCCGGAGACGTGAGGGACAGGCCGGGAAAGGGGGATCCCTGCAAGAACCTGGACCCCCCTCCTGGACCCGTCAGGGCGCCCAGCACCGGTTCCCCCTCAGGCATGGGGGGTCTCGGACGCCTGGGCCCCATTCGCACCGTGCAGCGGGACCCTCTCCCCTGCAGCCCCCAGAAGGAGGATGGGGACAGCCACATTAAGGGGGGACACCAGGACCCCTTCCCGCACCAGCCCCACGCTGGGTGTCCCAGAGGGCCCGTTGATCCCCAGCGCTGGTGACAACCCCCCCCCGGCGCCA